TTTTTGTAAACTACATTGTAAACTATTTTGCAAATTACTGATAGATATCTTCGTGTTTTATGTTACAGATCTTGGTTTCTATGCATTGCCTGCCAAAGAAGAACTGAGCCCAATGTTTCCACACAATTCTAGTTCACATGAGATTTCTACAGAAACAAATGCCTTCGTACAAAATTCCATGGTAAGTATTTATATGTACATCGCATGTATTTGAGCTAATAACTTTTTATACATATATCATACCATCATGAACCGAAAATAAAACCGTGAAATTTTTTATGTCAATATAAATTATTATCGTAATGTATAAAAGTAGTGAAATTTAAAAACAAATGAAAAAAATTATTGATACTTTTAATGAAACGGTTTATAAATTTTGTATGCGTCACATATGACTCGTAAAATACTATTTATAGAAATTACTCCAATCTAAGATTAATTGCATTATTTGTTGCATGAGTATCCAGATAGATAAGATTTTTTATTCAACTTTAGCTACAAAAAGCCAAGAAGTGAACTTGGTTTACGAATTTATACCTTATATATAGATATAAATACGTTCATACCTTCCTTACTACCGCGTTCTACCGTTAACATCATCTTATTTGTCATTTCCTACTTTTTGTTGGATGAGTAGATACTCATAATTAGATAATTATCTGCATTTACATCTGCAAATATATTAAATTACTTTGTTATGACTTATTTGTAGATTTAGTAAGTTACCTTTGTTGTTTCTTTTTTTTTCTTACTTATTTGTAATCCGTAAATCACTATCTACGGTTATAACAATTGAGATTTGATTTATCTTATCTTTGTACATACATAATATTTTAGTTTCACATTATTGCATCATAGCTTACATGTTTATTTATTGATCTTACACTCATTTGTTTAAAGACAAATATTTTCATTCTGAAACAAACGTAAACACGTCACGTTTTTTACGTGTTATAGGGGGATGTAGTAGTATTAGAGGAAAGCAGTCTGGATGGGGTGGGGGAAGGGGAAGGATCAGAGCACATTAGGTACTGTGATATCGAATCGATAGCAAACAGCAGCATGATGGCAGCACCTATTAGCCATCCCGAAGCTACCGCCGCCAATGACTTTTCAACCGTCCTGCTGAACCAAGCTGGTGAGTAAATTAAATATTTTAATGATATTTAGTAATATTCCTATACTTTACATTATTTGAATTTGCCTATCTTATATTTACTTAATGTTTTACGTATTAATGTACAAAAATAAGTATATCTTTTAGAAATTTAGATATTGTATTTATTATTTTGAAAACTGTTGTAAAGCTGAATAAAATTATAAGCTCAGCTGACAAATACTTATAAAGAAAATTGATATTAAAAGCATGAGTAGTTAAATAATTTAATTTTTTTTATATAAATATTGTATTTAAATTATATAAAACGTTTTGTTAAACATTTTGTTAATATTTAATTGTATAATTTATATATTCTTTTATTAATAATTTTCATATCTTGTGGATTAAAACATATATTTTCAATAATATCCAAGAGAATAAATGCTTATATATCGAACAAAGATATTGGAAATTCTGACGACAAATGACGTTTACAGCGCGACATTACATTCTAATTACAGGTGAGTTCAACTCAACCGGCATAGGTAAGGCCTGCCAGTCAGTGGCGCCAGCAACCACAAAATACCCAACAAATCACCCTCAAATCTGCGATAATAATAATAAAATAAATAATCACAACAATGCAGAACATAATCATCACAAGTACAGAAAGCAAAACACACCGGGCTTGCTTGGTCTGCAGCTGGGCAGCTCCGCCAATAACTCTAAGTCTACTTGTAAGACATTAAGTGATAATAAGACTAGCTTTAGTACTGTATACATTAGGGTACATATAAGGGTAAGTGTAAATTTTGAAAGGGACGAAGTGTGTTACACCGTTGGGGTACCTAGCCTAGTTAGGATACCCAAGTCTGATAGTCCCCAACGGTTGTTACGCCTCCCTAACTCTGATGACAATTACTCCTTACTAGGGTCCTGCCTTGACCTAGGCGACAACAATAAATTTAAGGCTAATTTTAGTTATGTAAGTAATAACAACTCCAAGTCTGTGATATTGCTCAGCTCAACCAGTTACAGTAACCATTACCTCCTCTTTAGTGGTGGCTTTGACAAGATAGCTGCTGTTATCCCGGTACTTTGTATTAAAAGGGACGATTCTACCACCACATCGAATAGAATGAAACTACTAGGTGATAAGTACGCCCTAGTTACCAGTTTTGCTCAGATCTCTAGACTGCTTGCAAACGATAGAATTCTGGATGATTCTAACTCTGACATCCGAGTTTCGCTGAGCTGCCGAATAGCACGACACCTCTTGAAATCGCATTTGAATGTCAACTCTCTATTATCGGTGTCGGTTTGCGCTCAGAATTTCGCGATGTACACCGCAAGTTCTTCCATTACGCTTATCGTTTCCAGAAACGAAGTAATTGACCACACTTTGCGATCTTTCCTGAAAAATCTCACACAACTATATGTACAATCTTCTATTTCTCCATTATGTAATGTCACTGTGACCGAGCTGATGCAACACATATGTGTTCCACTATTAATAATATGTAAAAGTAATGATTACAACGTTGGTAATAATTATAATGAATATTATAATAACGAGTACAGTAACGTTGGTAGTATTGAAGAAGAAATTAATATTAGTAATAATAATCCAGATGTTATCGGAGACATTGTTGACATCGCTGTGTGCTACAAGACTAGTGTAATGACTACTAATGTTAGGATCTTAGGGTCTCAAAATGATGGTATTAGTTGTACCGAAGCAACAATATATACTGTTGGTGCTCTTTTATTTCAGGATAACAATAAGCCTCTAAACACTTGTTTTAAGATTAGTAGACATAGGGGATTGGTCACTACCGATCGCGAATCTAACTCTACCATTAAGTCTGTATTTAGGTCTAAGTTCAGCGATAAGTGTAGTAATGTTAAATTTGAAACATCTCATGCCGCTCGACTTGACGAATCTGACAACAGTAAGCAAGTTAAGTTGACTGTCAACATTCCTATAATGACTACCTGCAAGCCTACGATGACGCTTACATGCCAATCAGCCACCGTCGCATCCCAAACAATTGTTGTACCTGTATCTCGGGCGGAGAGTCGCACGAACGACAATGAAATGCGATTGGAATATTTCAATATACTCCAAAATGACCAAATATGTATCCAATATATGTTGCTAAGTCATACAGATGATCTTAATAAGAATGACTTGTGTCGTTGTGACGCAACTAAATTTAAAGACGCGCAAATTTATGCTATTGACAAGCTCAAGGCTACTACAACATCGAAAGATGACGCTCAGTTGATCTGCAAATATCACCGAGATACTCTCAAATACGACCAAAGTCGTAAGAACGATGACGATAATGCCATCATATGCAACGGCAACGAAGATTTCTCTCTATCGACTACGATATGTCACCTCCTAAAGCATTATGTGCGTGCATTAGTTTCTGCTTGTCGAAGAACATACGAGACGAACATGAACGAATACGAAGTTAATCGGCGTCGACTACGATCTGTCTTGGACGTCCTATCTCGCAAATGTATATCGAAGTTGTATGAAAACTACAACGAGCCTATTGCAAGTTACAAGCAACGTTGGGGCATACCAATGGGACTGCGGTTGGTAGGAGGTGGAGAGAGTTCCTTGAACAGCGGAGGAGCTACCAATTGGGGAACAACGCAAGCCACTACGCCAAATAATAATAATACAAATCAGAGTGGATGGGGCGGTACACCCGGAAACCCACCCGGTAGTGCTAATGCACCGAATAATTGGGGCGGAAATACTGTCAATCGATCTGTCACTGGTAATCCAAATCAAAATCAAAATCAAGGACCACCTGGAAACCAAAATAATCCGGGTAAGAGCATATATTGTTAAAAGAAACTTAGACTTAATATATGTATATATCCAAAGTATCCATAAACATACGTATAAATTTTTTGACATTTAATATTTAAATCAAATTATTCAGTATTCAATATTTAAATTAAATTATTTCGTATAAGAATTATATTTATATTTGATTTGTGTTAAATATTTTAATTGTCAAGATTTTTAAAATATTAATACATTACACAGATTACACAATTGTATTAAAATATATTACAAAATATATGAATGTTTTGGATGTGTATAAGTATAAATCTCTAGAAAAAATACTTGAGCATTAGCTGAATACGACTTTTAAACTTTATTTTTATTTATGATTTATAAAGACAATTGTATTTCTTGATTTATTAGGTAATGTGAGTAAAGTTAATAATCCCAATCAACAATCGAATCAACAATCTGGTCCGCCAACATCTCAATCAAATAACCCTACCCAAGGGAATCAGAATAATAACCAATGGTCTCAGGGAAAGTCTAATAACCCAAGTGGTCTTGGGCAAAATCCATCAGTGCAAAATAATAACAGTAGTGGCGTTCAACAACAGCAATCTTCAGGTTCAAGCGCAAACAACAATCAGTCCAATAATCCTACCCAAGGAGCTGTAAGCATTGGCAACACATCAACGACTAATAATCCGTCTACGAAGCAGCAACTCGAACAACTCAATACAATGCGGGAAGCACTCTTTAGTCATGACGGTTGGGGTTGTGTAAGTAAAATACAATATATTTGATGTATGATTATACATTTTACAAGTGTAACATTGATCTTGAGATTACTTTTATTATTCGTCTCAACAAACTTTTCGTGTGAAAGAATAATAAGTATACAGCATTAAACTTTGCGGTTGTTAATGGATTGCCAATTGTTTATTTCATATAATATTTGATATGACAATATTAACATATGAATAATTGTGCAGCAAAATGTGAATCAAGATACAAATTGGGACGTTCCGACATCACCCGAGCCTAGCATAACTAAAGACGGTGTTCCGATATGGAAACCACCAGTGAACAACGGCACTGATTTGTGGGAGGCGAATCTGCGTAACGGTGGACAGCCGCCGCCTCAACAGCAAACAAAAACACCGTGGGGCCATACTCCTGCGACCAACATCGGCGGCACTTGGGGTGAAGACGACGAAACGGCAGATTCATCCAACATGTGGACCGGTGCACCAACACAATCACAGCCGAGCGCAGCTCAGTGGACCGGTGCCGCCGGTAACCAAGCCGGTATGTGGGGAGGTAGGCTGGTGAAGGCTGGAGATGCCAGATCTATATAGGCAAAATGTTTTTCCAAATTTTTTGATTTTGACTGAAAAATGTCCTTGATTTTTCTAGTGTTATATTAGCTGTTTGTAATGTGCCTGTTAGCGCACTGCTAACGTATCCTTTATGTGACTATGTTCAGAAACCCGAGTCTCGTTCAGTTGCTATAACGCATTTGTAGTAGAGCTCTGTAGATAATATAGAAGAAAATACTATCATACTATAAACACATTATGTCGTTTTCATTCTTACTGTTATTTATTTATTTTTATTCTGAGCACAAAGAGATAATACCTACTTTGTTAATACTTGATGTAATTAAGTTTATTAAAATATCTCTGTTACATTCTTTCTCTTTCTCTCTCTTAACATTACTTCTGCATTGGGAAACCACCAAGTTGAAATAGACATTACTTTAAAACATTTTGCAAATATGATAGTATGTATAGTGTAGTTAAAACTAAAAAAAAATTTTTTGAAAGTAACGCTTTTACTTAATATATATTAAAGTGCAATATACATATATAAAATTATTAAAGTGCAATACACATACATATATATAATATAAGAAAATCATTTTTGTGATTTATATTTTAGAAGAAATCTGGTGAAATAATATATACTACGTATTTTGCACAGTCATTTGACCGACATTGGGGAATCCTGAACAAAGTTTCATATTCTTAAATTTTTTGAGATAAATAATTGGCCACAAACTACATTAGAACTTACACTTGTATTTGCGCAGTTGAACGTAATGCAAAATAATACATTAATTATATTATTATGCTTTTGACACATTCAGCTGCGGCTTATGTTTAGTGAAAGTGTATGTTATATATTTGCTAGTTAATTAAATAGAGAGACTCCGGCATTCACAAAGCTTTAAGATAAAAATGGGGGGATACAGTTCAAGCGATTTTCATTTGATTTTGCATATTTGCCTTTGCAAGTGCTATCAGTTTCAGGCGATTTTTGTTACTTTTGTTTGAGGAAATGTTATGCTGTTTATATGGAAATATGCTTTTTATGTGTGTGGAAGTGCTATGTTAGATGCTTTCACCCTAAGCCAAACATATGCATAAAATTAACGACAGTATTATATTTATCTATATACATAAAGTATTTATATTTTACAATATAAGTACAATAATTTCTTTGAATATTAGTTCTTTCTTAATTTTTATTTTATTATATTCCGTTTATACACGCTATGTTAATTATCTATTATAAAATTATAAATGTCTTATGCTTCTGCATTTACTTATCATTGTGGATATAGAAATGTAACGAAATCAATTTATGTGATCTATCACTTGCATAACAGAATAATTTTTTTACTGAATAATATTATATGTATACAAATTTAAATTGATGATTTTAGCCATGACTGGTTGCAATGCAAAATCAAACTATACTGATTTATAAGTAATTGCCTTATTTGTTCGTGATTATCTGTATATATAAAATTGTACATTTTTAATTGTGATGAATAGATTTAACGCAGATTTAATGAAATATGCATGTCACGTGTTCAGATGAGATTACTTATAAATCGATATGATTATCGCACACGACGAAGGTAATTTGTAATTACAAGAAACATTGATTGTGACAGGATCTAATTGGGGCGATCCTAGAATAGACCATAGAGATCCAAGAGACCTGCGATCTGTGGATCCACGAGAAATGCGTGATCCTCGAGATCACCGTATGTCCTTGGATCCCAGAGATCATATGCGTGTGATGGATCCTATGGCGCGCGATCCACGAATGGCTGATATGCGTGGTGATCCACGTGGAATATCAGGGCGATTGCATGGCGCAAACGCCGACGCCATGTGGACTCAGCCACCTGGCCCGCCTCATCATCAGATGGGTCATCAACATCCATCTGGGCCGCCAGCCAAGATGCTTAATCCGTCGAACATGAATCAATGGGCTGCACAACCACCGAAGGACATCATGCCCGGCAAACCGTCCGGCTGGGAGGAACCTTCGCCGCCGACGCAACGGCGTAACGTGCCCAATTATGACGACGGAACAAGCCTCTGGGGAAATCCGGCTGCTAATCAACGTGCTATGCCAGGTAGCAAGGTTTCACATTGGAAGGATATACCTGCACCAAACTTGGCTCGTGGAGGTACGCGTTCGCGGAGCGTCCCAAAACCTTTTTTTTTTGTTTTATATTGTAAAAAATTGTTGAAAAAAGTAATCAATGTGCACAACGTATATAATACACTTTTCATCTTAAAGCTTGATTTAATAGTACTAATCTGCGTGCTCTTTATTGCAGGCATGCAATGTCCACCAGGCATGCCTCAGAATAGAATGCCAGGTCAACCTGGAATGAAACCAGATGTAAGTAATCCCATGTGGGGCCATCCTGGGGCTCCAGGCGGACGCAATGGAACATGGACAGACGGTCCGCACGATACTGCATCTTGGGATGATCCTAAGACACCGGCTACTTGGAACGAGCCTCCACTAAATCCTGGTTGGGGTGGTCCAACTGCGCACAAGCCAAAGCCTATGGGACCTGCCGGTAGCTGGACTGATTCTGATATGGATCCGACTCCTAGCTGGGCACATCCTGCAAAACCTACTTTAACAAAAGAAGTTATTTGGAACAGTCGCGAGTTTCGTTATCTCTGCGATTTAGGATTTAAGGTATGATATCTTCAATCTTTGTCTATATTTTGCATGCATTTCTAATTTTTATTTAATTGATCTATCATATAATATTTAATAATTAATATTAAATGTATTAAAATATTACTTAATTATATTTTTTGCTAAAGTATTTTAGGCTTATAAATTTAAATTCGTAGAAATCTTCTTAATTGTTAATATAAATACATATAATTTGACTTAATTATTTTATTCAATTTTTATCAAAGCATGTAAAATTAATTCTTAAAACAATAAAATTAATTTTAAATATTTTCAATTTTGCTATTAATGAATGAACTTTTCATGGGATAGCATATCGTAAAATATGTGATTATTCTATTATTTTAGAAAGAGGATGTCGAAGTAGCATTGAGGAATCGAGAAATGAATCGAGAAGAGGCATTGGAACTTCTCAATCAAATACGTCCTGTCGATCAGTGGAGACGTCACGAGACACACTCAGGTTACGATCCGACGCATCAAGCAACTACCACACCAGCCTATCCTCGATTCAATCACGTCGGACAGCAGATGTCATTCCCTCCGGTAAGCTTAATTAGCGTTGTTAAATAGTTTTCAGAAAAAATTTTTTGTGATTTTAAACGATATTCTGAGATATACCGATTTTATATAATAAATTTTTAAATATAATCTTTCATTAACAGTGCTGTTTTTGAAAATGAATGAAGCTAAGATATTTGACAATAAATAAGTTACGCGTTGTGGTTTTCGTGAAAATTGCTTAACGAGTGATTGAGCGTGTGTACACTTCGTCAGCATTTTATTATGAATTAACATTATCTAATAGTTGAAAGTAATGAATTAAAGTGGAATTTTGAAACCGCTACAAAATGCGGAATAGTTACTAACTGTTTTTTATGTGTATCCAACTGTTTTCGTTATATTATGTGAAATATTTGTATATTTTTATACATATTGTTCGGAAACGGTAACGACTCAATTACCGGAGAGATAAAATACTTGAATATGAGGAGAGAGATACAAATTCTTAGTTATGATCGATGTTTGGGAAACACATTTTGTGCGGCATATTAATTCGATAGAAGACACAGAAAGAAAATAGGCTTGGGGTACAATTTGTATTTAACATAGGGTGGCGGAGTGCCCAGTGGGGCAACCAGTGGGGGAGTGGGTGGGTCTGTCACCAGTGCTAGTCTTCTCAAGCTTCAGCAACAGCAACAGCAGCAGACAGCTGTTCCGTTACAGCAACAACAACCAAGTACCAATACGCCACAACCCCCTTTCAACCAGGTGAATAAACTCATGTTTAACGAAGTTCTATATCGAGGTTCCATGGTTTCTTTTTACATTTATTTTTTTTGTTATAAGAAATGCGTGATGAGATAAATGCCTGATTTTCTAGTTATTATCGCGTGAGTAGCATGCGATCGCGACAATGTAAGAGTTTGTTTCTATTTATTAATTATTAAAAAAATAATCAAGAATTGATATTTATTATAAATACTATCTAAAAAGATTTATTCATATAGCGAATACATACAAGAAAGGTTATAGTGACAAGATTATTTTATACTAGGTATATTTATGAATTAAATATGTATCTTTATTGAATTTATAGGCTTAATAATTTTTGTTGGCAAACGATGGCAATTCTCTTTCTTATATTAGCTTATATTCATCTGTTTAATCTAATTTTTGAATGCATGAATTTGCGTTTGATGCTATATTGGTCTTATGCATGTAAATCACTATTTTGTTATTAATAATGCATCACTAACTTTCTACGGTTAATATCATAGTTATAAATCGAACATTTATCGAATTATAATAATTCAGTTATTTATAGAATATCTTATACAAGAGGTGTTAATATTTCATAATTTTTAAAAAACTTAGTAGGATGTTGTTTTTACTATAGTATAAAACATCTTCAGATTATAAATCGGGCTGTTTGTAATTTATTCGAACGTATATATATATATAGTTATATGTATATTTACATAATATCTCAAAACATAAATTTATATTTAACTATATATTTGGTTTTAGTTTTCGGCTATAACAGTACGGACAATGAATAAAATAAAATTTTATTGATCACAAAAAATGTGATCACTCATATGTTTGAAAACATAATTATGTATCTATTTTATTTTTTCATTCGGTTTAATATAGATTATAATCGATGATGCTAATGATGATAATAAAATTAATTTTCAGGCATCTCGCGCATCACAAAATCAACCAAGTACACAGCAATTGCGGATGCTTGTGCAACAAATTCAACTAGCTGTACACGAAGGATATTTGAACCACCAGATCTTGAATCAACCTTTAGCGCCTCAAACTCTGATGCTATTGAATCAGTTGCTACAGCAAATCAAAGTCCTTCAGCAATTACATCAACAACATGCTGTTCAAAATACAATGAAGGGAAGCAATCAGTCAGCTCTACAGATCAGTGTTCAGATCACGAAGACCAAGCAGCAGATCACGAATTTGCAGAATCAAATTGCGGTACAGCAAGCAACGTATATGAAGCAACAGCAGCAACATCCAGCTCCTCCATCGCAGGCATCGGAATATTACAAATCTTCCGTGCACGATCCCATGTCAGCTCTGCAAAACAGTTTCAGCGATTTAACGATGAACAAAGAGCCTCCGGTGGTACATATCAGTTTATATAAAAGATATCAAATTCTGATGTGAGCAACTATAACCTACATTATTTTTATTTTATTTGTTATAGAGCCAGCAACAATCAAGATTAAATCAATGGAAGCTGCCATGTCCAATTGATAAGGACGGCGATTTGGTATCGAACGAATTTTCCCGTGCTCCCGGAACTACGAGTAAACCGCCCGCAACTCCTGGCGGCTTGACTCAGTCACATAGTAGTCCGAATATGAATCCCTTGCTAAGTCAAGGAGATGGCACATGGTCTTCTCGACTCGGCGACAGCGGCTGGCCTGATCCGAGCAACAGCGATTCAACCGACGGAAAAGACTGGCAACCAGGTGGTGCTGCATATACTGATCTTGTTCCAGAGTTCGAGCCAGGGAAGCCATGGAAGGTAATCCATTTCCAATACTATTTTTCTAATCATTACTATTTTTTTGCCATTATGAATATTCCATTCGAATGCGAGAAAATAGTGTTCGTACATGTGTATTTAGAAAAATACGCGCAATTTATTGACATGTATAATAAAAGCAGCAGAGTATTAGTATTTAAAGCTTATCCAGGTCCACCTATATTTCATTTCATTTTAGGGTACCCAGATAAAAAGCATCGAGGATGATCCTAGCATCACTCCTGGCTCAGTTGTACGTTCTCCGTTATCTCTGGCTACTATTAAGGATACCGACACGATCTTTTCATCGAGCAGCAAGACATCACCGCCACCGCAAGCAGCTAATCCCGATACATCGATCCCGAGTTTAAGCAATTCTACATGGACATTTAATCCACCAGCAACTACACCTAGTGCGTTTACTAGGTAATGATTTTAAATGTATGACGTACATTATCACATTCTTTTTTTGAACGTACATTTAAAAAAATTTCAATTTATTACAGCACTTCCAAAAATACATGGGGAGAATCCGCTCCTCCGCCTACTGCTGTGACTTCAGAACTCTGGGGTGCACCGATGAGCAAAGCGCGTGGTCCACCTCCTGGTTTAAGCAGTAAAGGGGCTACGAATGCAAGCAATGGTTGGGGTGCTGGCTTAGGAAGTGTTAGTAGATCGTCTAGTTCGTGGGGCCTCCAATCATCCACCGTCAGTAATTCGAGTTGGATGTCTACTTGGCTTCTGTTGAAGAATCTTACTCCACAAATTGACGGCTCTACTTTGAAAACGTTGTGTATGCAACACGGACCGGTTCAAGACTTCCGTCTCTACCAGAATCATGGAATTGCTCTGACAAAATATTCCTCTCGCGACGAAGCAATCAAGGTAAACGGAATTTATTGTAATTTTTTGTCTTAAAATTCTTACTAGTTTTAATATTCGTTAACAAATTATCTTTTAGTGGCTGAAATATTTCACGAGATTGTCGATTTTGTTTTTCAGGCTCAAGGAGCCCTAAACAATTGCGTCCTGGGTAACACAACGATATTCGCCGAGTCGCCTGGAGATAACGAGGTTACTGCGATTCTGCAGCAACTCGGCCATGGTGGACAGCAACAGGCCGGCGGTTCTGGAGGAGCCGGATGGGGCCTTAGATCAACTAACAAAGCTGGCCCGCCGCCCGATACATGGGGAGGCAGCTCTAGTCAGCTCTGGGGCGCTCCGCCCACCAGCAATTCCCTGTGGAGTAACGCGGGAATTGACAACAGCGATCAGCAACGAGCAACTCCCAGTTCTCTCACCTCGTACTTACCGGGAGATCTTTTGGGAGGTGAGTCGATGTAGAGAACGAGAGGCCATCCGCCCGAAATCTCGTCAAATAATTGAAAAATTCACTTGCTTATTACGCAAGTCCAGATATGCAGCTCGGCTGACGCAAACTTCGTGATTGAATGCATATTACTTCCCTTCTGATCCCCGCCTCTCATTCCTTTAAGATTACATGATTACATTTTGTATATCTTAGTATTATCATGTATTGATCAGTGTCTTTGGCTAAAGCGGATACGAGATGTGTCTGCTTGTGTAATCGTTGATGATAGGAGAAGCTGAGCATGTGAGAGGATGAGGGAATGGGAGGGGGAGCTTAGAGAGTGATAGACGGTGTGAAAGAGAAAGAGCGAGAAAGAGAGAGAGAGAGAGAGAATGAGACGGACGAGGTCTTCACGAAACGTCAATTATATTGCTAAGAAACGCAATTACTATAACGAGTTACTTAACAAAAAAAAATTACTACCCTCGTATCCGCCTTGAGTAGAACACGCGTAAGCAAAAAAAATCGCAGCGGCATACAGCCAAATCGTGCGATAAATATCTAATTTTACATGACAAACTACACTCTACACATATAACACATTCATAAAGAACACTCGACAAGAAAGAAAGGTACTTGCAAATGTGAATTTTGCGGTCGCGTCATTACTTCGAGGAGATTTACGGATTGCGGAAGATCAAGTTGGACCAATTGCAACGGTCTCTTCATTAACATATTGGTGCGTGTATTGCGTGCGATTTGCCACGATGTATAACGACGAAGTGGCGTTCTCGTCGTTCCAAGCCAATCTCTAGTAAGCATTTCTAATCTGAAGGTAACGTGTAGAAGAAGGAAGATGAAGAAAACAAAAAGAGAACTCCGCGCTCTCTGCCATTTTACTATGAATGGCAGGCGCTTTTCAATGAAGATTTATCGGCCGAGGGTCTCTGATCAGGTCAAAGAGTGTTCCATTTTTGCTGGACAGTTCTGAAGACTGCAGCGAGTATCAAACGTAGACTGTATCAATCTAATCAAAAGAAAGAAACCTTAAAAAAAAAACAAGCATTGACGTCGCTGCCTGGTGTTCTGCCCCGACCCCGACCCCACCCCCCACTGCACTCTCCGGACCCCCCACGAATGTGGAAGAAACGAAGAATGCAGGGATATCAGATCAACTGGGCAACGACGCAACGATACCAAATGTTATCGCAATAACGTAAATTTTATTCTATATTAAATCTAGATGCCACCTGTCGTGCCAATGTCCAGTGTGTCTCTTTACCATTTATTAACGTAGAGTTTAAATGAAAAAAAAGGAAGAAATACATGCGAAAGAAGGAACGGGGGAAAAAACGGATGAGATGAAGATTCGAGGACGAGGTAAGACCGAGAAAAGTGCTGACGAAACGGCTAATAAAGCGGTTGAAAGGTCGGGTTTACATTAAAGTAAACGTGAAGACGAGTAATGAGCACTGCGTACTGATTACCGGTACGTAGCATATTACGCTTCTCATTAGTGATGTTCGAACTCGAGGAATCACGATGATCCGCGTAAGATCGCAACGCGAGTAATGGCGATGTTACGAATGTATGGCATTTATTACGGGCGCATTGCGGAGCTCGGTCTAGGATGAATTAAATTAGTTTTTCTCTTCAACGTCAAAGGTACCTGAATGGACTGATAACCAAACGACGAACAAGCGAACCGTTATTTACTCATGCACAACAGTTTCCTTTTTATTTTTCGCTTCTCCGTGTCGGTGAAGGATTTTTTTTTTTCCGGGAACGTTTCGCGAGATCAATCACTGGCGCAACCGCGAACGACGTGAAAGAGACGGCTTTTTTTCCTTCGTGAACTGAAAGATGTAGAAAAAAGAGTAAGAGAGAAAGATATATATATTATATTACATATATAAGCATATATGAAACTAGAAGGAAAAAAAGAAACAATCAGGACGCTGTTCAGCGAGACGCGCGCAATAAAAATGAACAACTACATATACACACACGCTGATCATACACGTTTGCCACGCATGACTGAACCTGCATGCTTGCAAATGTCAAACACGCCAAGCTAAGGAAACGTACATAGTAGCATTGGTCGACAATGATTCCGCCGCTTCCATGCGATCGGTCGAGCCTCGCGGATACCGGACCACTATATCCTTTGGCGTATATCAGTAAATCAAAAAACATTGGGAATTTTTATATTTGTTGCCTTCCAAGGGGAAAAGAAAGAAAGAGGTGAGGGAAAGAGAGAGATCACTTCTCGTAGGAGACATCATCAAAATAAAAGTCACATATTTCGCGCATTATACGACGGGGTGCATCGGTCCATGATGAGGCCGCGAGATGAGAAATCCGCGTGGTTCCGCCGGTCACGTCGCTTCGACTCTGTCGGCCAGTGTTGTCATGCGTAATATTTAATTTTAATATTTTCGTAAGATTGCATAATCTAAGGTATTCATAATTATTGTGTAGCGTAAATAGGGTTCAAGTGGAAGTGGTAAAAAATACGACGATGCGATTATGACGACTATGTGAGCTGCCCTTGCAAAAACAATACAAGAAAAAAAAAGAAAAAAAAAAGGTGAAGTAGTGGAAGCGCTGCTTATGAGAGTCGTTCTGTACATAATTATATCGTATTCCTGAGAGAGTAGGCTGCCACGCAAGTCGAGAAGACGAATTTTTAAGCGATAACACACAGGCTAGATAGAGTAGTAGTATTAAGACGGTAGTATTTAAGGATGATGAAAGTAAGGCAGTGTGTGATCGCTTAAATTTTCAGGTCGATTCCATCTGTTATAACAATCCATGGATAATCCATCCATGGATTTCATTTACAGATTCCGTCTGTTACGTCGCTTCTTTCAAGTTGGCGTATCGAAGACGACGGGAAATAAATTTTTAATCAAATTGACATTTTAGTTGAAAATAAATTTCTTACTGCCTTCAAGATCGGATTTATCAATGGAACTTACTTAAACGAAAAAAATTGAAGGCTGTCGAATTGATTTACGCTTCGCGAATTGCGTGATCGATTACTTCCAAGGGTACGATATAAATCTCATAAATCTCCCATTACTATGTTATATAGTAACACAGACATACCCCTCCCCCTGTACATACATATATGTATGTAATATGTATATGTATGGTATAGCATAACGCCTCCTTACATTTTACTTAACAAAGTTTAGTAGTGTGCGATAAGTAGAGTGGGAATATGTGGGAAAATTGTATTAGGTATAAAGATAATTATTATATGAACTTATGCTGCACGCTTATGCTACATACCCTAAATTTATGATTATGAACTATTGATACTAATAACTAAGTAACACTATAGTTGTATTTGTGGGTGATAAGTTCTGACGCAAATTGACAAAATAATTCTTTGAATGAAATCTTTAAATAATTATTTTAAGACGTTTAAAAAGATTAGATTAAAAGATAGGCATTTTTAAACGGGGCAAGATATATAATGGCGTTCTAACAGTTCTATAATAGATTTTAAGAATGTAAACTTAAAATATAAGTGTTTGAAGACTTAAATTCATGAATGCAGGTATAAAAGAAGAAGAAATGTACAATGGAGTGAGTGAGGCAGAATGGACGTGAGAGATGAGATAACAGATGGAGCGTGTGAACGTACGAACGATTACAGTGGACAGAATAGAGGGAACATATGAACGAAAAGTAAAAGCAAAATCCAATTGCTTGCTTTCACAAAAAGCACGGAGCGTGGTGTGATAGTGAAATAAGCGAATCATTCGTTTGCATTTCTCAATACCTGCAGACATGCGTTTTCATTACAGTTTTCTTCTTTGCCTCGGTAAACATTTTAAGTGCAAGGTAGCGTAAGTTAGCACACATGCTAATTTACGCTACGGGAAAGGCTAATCGAGGGATTGAATAATATTTAAAGTATAAAGGGCCGTTAATTTTGAGAATCAAAGGGGGGGGGGGAACTTTTCTCCGAGTTAGCCAAGATGAAATCGGTCAACCTAATGCTAATTTGTTGTGATAACAGTGATTTACAGCCAAGGTATTTATATTTAGCTGTTTAGGGTCTCTTACGGTGTGAGTAACGGTATGAGTAATCGATATAATCCAATGGATTTTAATATTAATAGTACCATAAAGTTTAATGAATAAATTTCAATCGCGTACGTAAGTAATAACAGTAATAATAATAATAAAAATAATAATATCTCTAATAATAGTGATTGAATTAATGATCAATTAGAGATCAACCAATCAGGAGTAACTGATTAAGAGTCAGTGAAAATGTAAATGAATTGGTGGAAATGAATCATTGACTTTGATAATGTAGAGATATATATAATATATTATATATAAAGCTCCCGAAAGGTGCAAAGTGCGTACTTGTAAATGTGCGTGCGTGAAACTTGTGCGTATATATGTCATACACAATTGACTAAAACATATTCGATCGATCGTCGCGATGGAATTGTACGAGACGCGCACTAGGTGCTGCGTGCGAGAGGATAAGGCACATTCACATACATACACATGTGTATTTGCGCGCGTACTTTTTATGCGATAATAAGGTAATAAGGGAATAATATGAAAACTATAATTTTTAAATGATAAACACTTTAACGATACCGACGCGTGTAGCCTATCGCTTAATTATAATCTAACGCAAGTTAACTTTAATCTTTCTAACTCGTTGCCTTTCATTATTCGATACATTTTACACAAACATACGACATACACATTCACAGATACATATATAAATAAAATACACAATCGCGAGATGATAAATAAATAAATAAATTCGATAAAAATGGACTGACTAGCGGACGTAAGATAATAACTAAATTCGTTAATACACACAGACACACACGAGTACATACTTTACAAACACTTGGTACAAAACAGTTGTTTTATTGGTGGTTAATAGCAGCTAAAAAGAGATAGGAAAGTGTCAGGAGGCAGGAAAAGAAAACTGTGTTAATGGGGACGGAGAAGTAAATTATTCGTATATCATTCTGATAGTGTGAGATTCACACGCGACCCTTATTTCTAATTTGGCTTTTAATTTGTACATATGTATATCGAGTACAATACCTAGCGTTTAGTTTTCATTTATATAGCATTGATCAATTTTTGCAGAAATTGAAACACGATACGAGAAAATGAGTTGAAAAATCGGTTTCAGAAATGCATTTACGTTGATTTTTTACGCTCGAATTTTATGCAATGATATTTTATGACATTACTATTAAAGCAAAATATTTTTATACAAACGAAATAAATAAAAAGAGGCAGACAAATCTGTAGCTCATAAGAGTTTGTTCTGTATACTGGAAATACTTCAGGATAACGAAAATGATCGTGGAATGGCAGTGCTTTTTTAATATATCTGTTTTGTTCGTTACATTGATATCTCTATCGATAGAAAAATACTGAAAAGCGAACGTTCCAAACAAAAGAGTTTCATTACTCGATGCATGTCGTATGTGATAAATAATCCTTCAACAAGTTGTGAAGCGAAACTTGTGAAACAGCGTTTCCGCGAGGATCGCGCTATCTCGATAGAAAAGAAACTCGATTTTGTCCTCCCGACAAGATTTTATCCTGTAATTTCTCAATCATTCGTAAACAGGAAGGTTCGCATTTATATCGGAGCGACAATCGCTTCATATCAATTTGCAACAATAATGGTACAAATAATCGTATATAACAGTATTTTTAATGCCTCGTTACATCGCACGCGATTGTGTATAATATAACACATGTGCAATAGCTCGTCAAGACGCTTACGTAGAATTATAATTAATTATTAATTAGGACATATCGCACTGCCGTTGCACCGTCATTCCGCTTTTTCCGCTTTCTTTTTACGCGAATAATAGTCTTCGCTTGTGTGTGCCTTCCCTTTTTTCTTTCGAGTGTTATGTAACTATATGTAAGATCGATCATTGTACTCCTACTTGACATTTTTATAGAGCTTAACTCGTGACGATGTACGCTGTCGCTCTGATGTGATTTTTTTTTAAGTATCGCTGCTACGAGGGATCAATGTCTAGAAATCGCGCTGACGCTTATTACGACGAGCCAGTATTTTCTTCCACGTGACAACGGTTTCATCGCTACGGCAAATCGTTAGACGAGCGATTTGTCCATTCGATAGAGCCGCGCGCGTGACAGTCGCGATTTCCTACAGCCGTGATCCCGAGATGCAGCTATGGTCCGTAAGAAGGAGAAAAAGAATATCTATATCTCGTGGTCCCTGCAAGCCGGTATTGTCGTGTTATACCATACCACTTAGCGTGTACCGCGGTACAATGGCAACTAGCTATCGTACAGTATTAGCTATTGTACGGAAATATCGCAATGTCGTACGGTCAGCTTACGTAACGAGAAAATCTATCGTGGACCATAATTGCGATCCGGGCAGATGCAGGCTGTAGCCAATCGCGATTGATTCGTCCCCCGCCCGCGTTGATTCTTCTTCTTAGGCACCAAGTCGTCCGAAAATTTCCGAAGCGCATTAGGAATAAAATCCTTCAATTAGACTATATATGTAGGGTGTATTGGATCAGTAGTTTAAGGGGTCTGCTTTGTCTCTCTGGTGTCACTTAAAAACCAGTCCTAGTCGGATCCACGCGCGTAATCAAATTGGAACTTCGAGCGGACGCCAACGCCGTTTAATCATTACTTTTAATTGTTTCATAAACACGCCGCTCATTACGATGAAAGCAAGCTTGGTTTTATTTTTTGAGAAAGTCGGGGGGGGGGAGTGATCCGGCTAATTCACTCGCATCAATGTAATCGTGCTTCACTTAGGAAAATACCGTCACGCAATTAGTCCCGAAAATTGATTCTAGATCGTAGGAAATTGCCCCCAAAACTTGTCTACTAATTGTACGTATCGATTCGGGTTCGTGCTTCTTATAGATAATTACGTCGTCGCGTAAACGTTTATGGACGAGGACTATATTTGCTATATATATTATATATATATTAGAGAACTGTTGGTTGTTATTTTAGTCAACTTGCTCTCGAGTATCGTATATCATTGTTGCATTTCCGCACCACGCGTTTCCTAGTAATTGAGTCACTAATTTAGTATCGCGTATATGTATGTATATATAGAGCGTCAGTGCATTTCGTTTCCACTTGATATCGTATACTTACTGGAATTTACGCCCACGAAACAGAATGCAACGAGAAAAGGAAGTGTCCTGTGAAGAGAAATCGAACAGTTTCGTATTGAACAGTGAACTGTGTTGACAGTTAACTAATTACTGAGTTAAATTTGCATTAACGAGTTATTTCGTATGTTATTGTCTCACGTGTAACAGACGTAGGAAAGAAAACTCGTTAATCGGGATTAGCATTAATCGGTGTTAATTATTTGGCAAGCAGCTTAGAAAATAGACTTAGAAATAAGCGACTCTCCTGGGAATTCAGAGATCGATGAAAAAGAACCTTGAAAAGATTCGAAAGATGGTAAGCGGTAGCGTTTTTTCGCGTATTTCAAGCAAAGTATTCTTTTCAGTCATTGTCTTATAAAATTATCCAGGATTCCCAGTTTTTGTCTCGGGTTGTTTTGATTATTGAACAACAGTATTATGCCTGGGACACATTACACACAAACACATGTACACACACACACATTCACACAGGACTCATGATATTAATATCGATGATCGGACTTTAAATCCGGTGGTATTAAACCCAAAATTGTTTAAAATGCTTGTTTATAGTCATATATAAACAATTATGTTCCGAAATTTCTAGTCTCACTTGTCACATTCGCTTGTACAGAACAAAGTCCTTCTCATTTGTCTGGTATTATATTTTTAATATAAATTCTTATATGTAAATCAATGCTGTTACATGCTTACGATGTCATTTCCTGTGCGACTAAAAGACACGTGGTTAAAGTACTTATTAGAGAGATAAAGAAAAAAAGAACCACTCCGAGAAAATAGGGATGCAGAATTAGCTTAAATAGAACGTTTGAACATGAAACCTCGCGAAGCAGAAAAAGTTACTTTGATGAAATAGCGCTTAAATATCTTTCGAGAGATAAAATTACTAAATACTGAATATACTTATTTCGTGTGCGGACAACTGGAATAATATTTGGAAACTGGAAATGTTCGAGATCGGGGTTGCGATATTCATTTGAAATAAATTTCACGGGACGCGTATTACATGTGTCAAAATTGATAAATTAGATTAACAACAGGAGCAAAGTTAAAGAAATAAATACTAAGAGATTATTAAATAATTATATGTCGGTGTTACAGAATTATAGGTAGTTATCATATGCGTCATAATTTTGTGATTGGCTTATTTTAATACATTATCTGTGAATCCCGGAATATTCCACATTTTTTGAAGCATTCTTGGAGTATTTCGATTATTAATATATCAGCGCACGCAAATTAATCATCAGGATTGAAAAATCCGAATATTTCGTTACCCACAGATAATGCGTTAATACCAGCTTGAAATTGTATTAAGGATTGCATAAAAGAAGATTCAAAAGTTCATATGAATATTGAGCATTCAGCATACGGCACACCAAAAGTAGCATACTGAAAAGCACACATCAATTTCTTGTTACATTTATATCATTATTTTAAAGCATTTTTATTAAATTTTACATTTCAAGTTATGTTGTAAATTATATATATTCTTCGGCTTTCACACGATAACGAACTACACATCGTTTAATGTGATATCATTGGGTTGTAATAATTTTTATTAGCTCATTAAATCAGGCACCGAGTATAATCGTGCGGATGGATGTAATGTTGCGCAATGTGTTTATTTAATATTTGTAGTAGATATAACTGATATTTGTAGCAATATATATACGAAAAGATCAATTCTTCGCGTACAAAACAAACTTTTATTGTGAAACATGCGTTATTGTAAACTAAGATTATATATGTATAAGCATTATAGACTGAATATTCTGTGTATAAAAAAATGACCGGTAGATGCAATCCTGTATGCTGATGACGAGGAAGTGAAATAATAGCGAGTATCTGTTGTGTATCAGTATATGATTTACAACAACAAAAAATTTAAGTTACCCTCATGGACTTTGTAAAAATAAACGTTTTAGATTAACTTTATCGATTTTATTTTATTTTTGTTTTATCTTCGTTTATCACGTTTTTTGCCACGTATATACGAGACGAGCGTAATTCAGCTTACAAACCCTTCGCAGACGAGGGATTGAGAGATATCGAAATAGAGCGTGAAACCGTGCAATCGGTCCGAGTATTACGAGAGTCCGACGATCGACGTACCGTAAATCCGCAACGGAAGCAAGCGACACGTTCGCAGTCCACAGAAACGTACAGATTTTTCCGATAGCTCCGATATTGCTTAAGGGATGAAATAGTCGCTGCGGTCTCTTCTCTGAGAACGCAATATTGTATAAATCCGAAATATTATTCCAGATGTTTCGCGTGCGGAAACGAGTGTTCGCAGTACGTGTTCTAGGAGGTCGGATATACTGGCGAGAAGCAAAAAGGGCAATAAAGGGTAAAACGAAGGCTTAAATGCGTCGTACGCAAGCGTATAATTTAATCGGTGATTATTCCAAGCACTTGTCCCCCTCCGCCGAGGGATGACCGGCTTAGAGTGCCTCGCGTGTGAACGGGATGTTCTTACGACCCATGCAGAGCCTTCCACGAAACATTACTTACTTCTCACTCGAACGCGTATACCATTAGCGTAATAATAATGTATTTAAAACGCGTAAAACACGGAGCGTCAACTTAAAACAAAAAAAGAAAAAAAAACAGAAATATATCCGACGTTGGATTCCTCATCGAGCTACAATGATCTTCGCGAGCCACGTTTCGTCCTCGTCGCGATCATCGCGACGATATCAAAATCCGGCGAGGAAATCGATCGCGACGTCGATCGAAAAGACAAAGAAAAGAGAGCAGAACGAAGAAAAAAAAGAAAGATCGGTATTCGCATACCGTATTTGCACGTATATACGCACACATCGCACGCGCGCCCATTGTCATAAGGTGTAAAAAACTAATAAGGACTCCTTAGCTCTTAAGCGACGTTAAGAATTAAAAAAAAAAGAAAGAAGAGGAATTAACATACCCACATACATACACATACACATACATATACATCTGCAATGTGATATTCTCGTGTCTTGTCCGATAAGACAGACGTTCATTCTAACGAGTATAGTTGGCGTTTGTCCTTCTTTTCGCGTTAGTCCTTAAGGTATATCTAGAATATATATATATATATATTTAAGGGGAACTCTACATATATACGTAAGAGATAATCCGGGAGAGTGTGTGTACGTGTTCGGAGGTTTTGCGGATAAAGTGAGAGAAAAGAGAAAAATGCAAAAAACAAAAAAAAATGAAAAGAAACCCGTGTGACAGAGAAAACGACCAAAAATGTGCGAAATCGAGAGATGTACAACGTAAATTTCGCGTTTTAGGATAGATAACTGTTCGGGGGGGAAACTATCGTCACGAGATCCAAGGGGTGCGTCTTCTAGGGACTCCATCTCCCTTCGTTCTTCCCCTCTTCCTCCTCCCGTTTCCACTTCTTTTCATTCTTCGGGCAAAAGTACTATGCTCTCGCGTGGAAGGTTGTAAGAGAATGCTCTCGCGCATTTCCACTCAATCTCAATCTCTTTGTAAGGGTGTAGTGAATTAGTAATTATAACGCACTTTAAGTTTAAAGAGTCTTATTCTATCCTACATATCCGTGACTCGTAATTTCACGCTCGTCCGTGTACGCTGTAGCGTTCGCGCGTTTAGTATACCGCCGAGTGAAGTACTGTTTATCCTGTATCGAGATATCTACGATTGCACGTTGCGACAACGCCGCGCGCACCGCGACAGTAGCCGCGTCGCGCTGTCTTCGACCGCGACGCGCGATCGTACGGAAGATAAAGCGTGGCTGTTGAGGCAAGACCGCAAGTCAGAATTACTTGCAATTTTTCATTCATCTACTCTTCTCCGAAATTTCACGCGGTGAAACGTTTGCGACAGCCGAATCAAAGTATACATCATCGTTTATTCTTTTATTTCGCATTAATCCTAGCATATCCGCGCGGTTATTTAACGTGAAAAATAGTGTCTTATTCGTGCACCGGATGAGTACGTTAATTTTAGACTTTATTATTAACTGGAACAAACGTGCCGCTGGCACCGCTGCTAATTTTTTCGTTTTTTTATACTACGCTATATCCAATATGTACGACTTCATTTATGTTTCTGCATACAGAGTTAGCTGCATCCTGCTGTGTTTCGATGTACCTGAAACCGGTGGTAAGGGTTTTATAAAACATCTCGTAATTCTCGCGTCTCGTGTAAAACGCGACGTGTATTTCCAGCGACGTGTGTATCAGCGTCTATTTAGCAGGTAACCGGGATTTGCGACGCGCTCCATATACGCAGATCCGTGCATCGATGCCAGAAACCCCTGTATGACATCGCGCTATAAAACACTCGCGCAACGTCAGTCACGTATAGATCATCGTCGGGGACGATTTTTCCGCTGTAGATCGAAACAGTACTCTTTGCCCGTCCCCTCAACTCTCCTGCCTTTACCTCGTTTCGTTCATATTACACCGGGGGTGGTGTCTTCAGCCTAATTCCCAAAAAGAAAAAAAAACTTAGACGGCTGTTGCTCCCGGGGGTGAAGAATAGTCTGCAAAATTCTAAGTGTGTCACATGCCATCTTAGTCCGTAAGCGTTCATACTTATTTTTCTATACCGTATAAAAGTATAATCGTTCTATCGTGTAGCTCGTAACGCTTTGTTAGTCGTCATAGTTTTTCGCCATCGTGTCTGCCGCGTTTGCCTTGATTCATCAATACACTTCTTCGTTTATCCGCACTTAGATCTTCATACGTTGACGCAGTGACTTAGATCGCCTAATTTCTTCTCGTAATTTCGTTCGGGGTCTCGATTCTATCGAGAGAGACCGTCAGTGTCTTTTCGGGGCCGAGAAAGATAATGTTTACCGTGTGTTAATTAGTTTCTCTCCTGTTCTGTAAAAAAGTGAAATTATAACGCGTTGGCGGTGCGCAGAGCGTGACTTTGATTGATCTTTCTTTCCAAGTGATCTTTCGCACTTTATCGAAGGATATCGAACGATGCTCGTTCCGCGCCGTCTCGAACGAGAGAACCGCAAAGAAACCCAAAATTCAAACGATACGTATTAAAGTGCGACGTGATATTAAATTAATTGTCAACTGAAGATTAAATTAATTGTCGACTAAGATCGTGGTATAGGTCTGTAATAATTAATGAATTTTAACAGTAATTGGAAAATATCTATGTATTTATTTGAGGGCATTCAAAGGAATTCTTCTAGGAATACTCTTTTGTGACAAGGTGTTACTTTTACCTCGCGATTTTAAATTATTTCTAAGATTTTCTCCTTGGATGTGCGTGTAATCGACTGAGATTACGACCAAGATACTTGTTTCGATATTAAGCTATAAGAAAAGACGAAATTTTATTTTTTCACGGATCTCGGCGTCTTTAAATTATTTTTAAGGCTTCCGTTCGCAAAATGCGAGCTCTTCGAGTAAATCGATTGAAATTAATAAGATAATAAGATACTTGTTTCGATATTAAGCTCATAAATTCACTGGCGTGTGATCTTGTTCTGGTTTTTTATTGACGGTTTGCGCTCAAGTTTATTTTTATAAATGACTTAGGAAATGCCTGATATGTTTTTACAAATTATATAAGGAAATTGTACATTAAATAATCGTACGGTATAAAAAAACCATCCATATCCTCTCTCTATCGACCTAAGAAACAATATCTATCTAAAAGTTTAAAGATTCTCAAGAATATAATTCTTTTCTATGTGTAGCGTTCCCTATAATCTTAATTATATCCTACGATTAATTGTACATTCTCTAATCGCGCGAATCTGAATAAATTATAATTTATTTTTATTTCAAGTTCCAGTATATATGGCGACTTTCCTTTCAATGCAATAAAATATTAATTATCGTAAGACGATTCATTATATTTACCATTTTTCGCCGCGTACACTTTACGTTACCGTTGTTCATACCCCTGATTTACGCAAGATTTAATCTCGTAGCTTCGCGGACGGAATAGATAATGCTGTAATGTGACATCAAGTAAAATGTGAAGACTAAACGCTTGCGATAAGATTAAACGCTTGGCAAGAGCGATAACGCGCTTCGTGTTAAACGAGAATTTCCTGTACATATATGTTTCCGCTATTTACTTATTTATTCGGTTACATCGTAGAGAGACGAAGTCAACTGTATTTTATAATATCGGTAACAGTACTAATCGCATCAATTCTAGTTATTTATCGCTTAGTAGTGATTATTTGCTATTCTCGATAATTATACTTTGTGTTCCGTAATAACAATCTCGATGCAATCTATAAGTGCCCGTATAAGCGTTATCAAGGCGGTCTCATTGTGTGTATATCTACTAAAAAAGCTTATTAAATCTATAAGATAATCTCGCGGGAGCTCGTCGAAAACGTCTATTGATCCTCAATAATAAAAATATAATAATACTAAATAATAATAATACTTTAATACTAATAATAATATTAATAATAATGTTAGCAATAATGGTTGTCTAATTTAGCACTTTGTGTAACCTAATGGCTGTCTATGTAATTTAACATAAACTTCTAAAGGTAATTACTTTCCGAAAACTGACACACAATCCGCTTCGGAGGCAATATCGCGCGCGACTGATCGAATTTATTAACGCGAACACGCCCGATCGACGCCAATTAATTAAAACCGAAGTCTTGCCAATCTTGCGCGTTCTGGATCTCGAGGAAAGGAGGAATTTACGATCTAAATACCGTTACCGACAATAATGGCCCGAAAGTGATATTCGCGTGCTGCTGCAATTTGCATGCGAGATATATATCTCGGATAAGCGATTAACACGATGTTTCGTAATATTGTGTAATAATTCCGTCGCCCGCGTAATCGATAAGTCACGCCGAAAAAAAGAACATCATTTGCGACGACGAAATTATTGTGCAATAATATCGATTGACGTTCGCGTCATTTCTATAACAGCCTTTCTATGTGCAAACGGCTGTTCGATATTAACGACTTTCCTTCCGTTCTTTCTTTTAATATTGTCAATTGCACCGTGTTCCCTTCCTTTCGGGTTGTCGGTGATACCTTAAGTTTACGTATAAGGAACGTTTCGTCGTATATCAGGATCGCATATTTCAGGTTTAATTCTTTAAATGGCTTAAAGGTAACACCTATGATATTGTAATATCTGTCTTTTCCATATTTATCTTTTAAAAAAAAAATTGTGCCACTATAAAGGGATGCATTTTCAAATTGGTGAAGGAGACACAAGATAGAGAGAGATATTTATATGTCTCTGCGCGCGTACGTTTCTATATGAAAATAATTACGAGCGTGCCGGATTGAATATATTGGGACGAGGGTATTTCGTGTTGCTTTCCCCGTAAATTCTCGTCTTCGCGATATCCCGCAATCTCATAGGCTATCATTAAAGTCATTCATCGCGGAATTGAAACTGCTACTGGTATCGTCACTCTATTATTATTAACGGCGCAACGCGCCGTTACTGCTGATATTATCGGTATTATACTCTCGCTGCTGTGTTACTACTGTGTCACCATTACTATTTATTGCTACCGTTACTATTACTATCGCTATTGCTACTATTACTATTATTATCGTTATAGTTATCGCTGCTAAACTGTTGCCGCTGCTCCTATTATTACCCGTTACTAATCACTACTTATCACCGCTATACTTACGCCGCCGCAATCCGCGTGCGCGCATTTTCGTTTTCCAATATGCAAACACTATTTTCACGTTTCTACTATAACTTGGAATGGCGCTATTCGAGCTCTCGTAAATTGTTAAGTACAAAAGTCAGTCTAGTTTAGGATAAACAAATTAACGAGAGTTTCTTCATTATTCTCACGGGTCGGAACAACGCTTTGTCTACCTCCGAAGCGCTGTAATAAAGCCGCGACACACTTCGCTTATTTTCTTACGGGACGCGGGATCAGCTATTCCGAAGCGGCGTGTTTTACGCATCGCGGGTCGAGTCGCGCACGCTCGGCAGTTACATTACCACTATATTCTTATTTGCCGACGTGTATCCAGTTTTGTACCCGATTCGCAAGACCAATCTTAAGTTTGTCGAGCACAAATCGTATATATATATAAGACGTCGGGAAGACGGGTCTATATTACTTTTTACAGAGGGCAAACAAGTTATTTAGGGTAATGCGAAACTGTTGGAGTTCCGTAGGCACTCAAAACGGATCAACCCTCCGTAAATCCGAGTATTGAACGTGAACGCTACTTTTATGACGTAAAAACCAGCTGAAACGACGGTACGACGTTGCCGCAAGCGTCTAAACCGGGGACGTAAATTCAACAATATTCACGAGCTCATCGTCCGTAATGTAAGAACGCGGGGGAGCTCATCATCCTCTCCGCGTGGAAAATTGCCTGGATTACCCAGACGGTCAATTTCGGTTTCGCGAGACCGAGAGGAATCTCCGCAACGTCCGCCGGCATCGCGCAAGCGACGCGACCGCGTCTTGAAGGACTTTACTTGGACTTTCGCTCGTTCTTCTGGATCATTCCACGTTATCTTCCCTCGTGCGTTAGCTTCGTTTTATCTTGGAAAGTCAGTAGTATTTGTCAAGTGCCACCTGTCTAAGAGGCGATGTTTTCCGGGCGCATTTTGCACGCCAGTTTAGTGAATAAATTTCGCAAAATTGTGGGGAGGGGGGGAAGGGGGGGATGAGAGATCGTAAGAGGAATAGAATGAGGAAATCGAAGAGAGATGTGTCCGAGATCGAGGCTGGCCGTGCTCATGCCGATTCTGTTACGCGATCGCAAACGAGAAGTCGCGGATACCACAACCTAGTCATCGACTTTCGCGAGCGTGTCGTTCGCAGCTTTTCGCAGGGCTTTCACCTAGCGATAGCTTCTCTCTTTCTCTTTCTCTCTCTCTCGTCGCTGGTCTGTACAAATTTCGCCCAGCGATTCTCTCTGTGTTCTTGCGACCTCGAGACGAGAGTTTCGAAAGAGATATCAAGTGTCTATCGCGAAGGAGAAAAAAAAGAAACGCGGTGATATCGCCAGTCGCGTCCCGGTACGGTCATCTCTGGCGTAGGAGAACAGGAGGAGGTCTCTTCTTTCCGATCGTCTTGTTATTCCTAGCCGTTAATTAACTTTTAATCGAAAGCGAAAAAAAATTCATTCGGTATGTTGTTGACGTAAATGGTATTGGACGTCGAATTTCCTCAAAGAAATTGGGTGAAGAATACATTTTAGCAACAATATGATGAATTTTTAACCAATTGAATAAGATCTTATAAGTTAATGTTGGTTAAGGATCAGTTGAATGTGACGATAAGTTGAATCCGCGACAGTCTTTGATTCCTAGTGATTAGATATGAAGCTATCTCGGGTCTTGTAGTCCCACACTTCTTTGTGATTCGCACGATGGTGACGGAATCGATTAAGCAAGCACTGTCTATAACGGCTACAATAAATGTGCAATATATACATGTAACAGGCATGGATTTATAGTGGTATTTCTGTATTCTGTACCTTTAGGATTTATCTACGATTAGATTTTAGCTTTGCTACGTTAATTCATGCGTTTTTGGCAGTATTGTTCGACGGAATCTCTGCCGAAGTAAGAAGACAAAGATATCCGAGTTTTCGTAACGTTATATTTTGAAAATTTGGAAAGCCCAAATGTGACCAACAATCTTCTGTTTTTCTTTTTAAAACGGGAGCAGAATCCGCGGATAAGAGAGTCTGATTATCGAGTGGGTGGGAACGCGCGATAGAAATTTCTTTCTCCGTAAGGATATGATTTCGGCGTATGATTATGGACGTACCACTGTACTTATTCATCGCGAAATACGTACTGTCCAATGCCAACCGACAGCCAACCGGGATTGTAAATCGTATCGCGTTCTTACGATCTGTGACCTGAAAGGATCTGTCGACTTCTTAATTCGCTCGATATTAATCATTACGCTTCGATTAAACCGAGTCCTCGTTCAAGAGAACGAAGGGAAAGTCGCGAATGCGCTAACGACCGAATTAAATGGCCGATGACTTCGTAAGATCGATCGCGAGCGCGCACTTACGAGGGATCAATAAAGTAACTTTGTCGATATCAATTCGCACATATTTTTCGATCGTATTCTAATCTCTAGACGGAAGTTCGAAAAACGAAAAATATCGCTCTACCTAGTTGGTTCTTCTTTTAAAGAAAACGAGGAAAAAAGGAGAAAAAAAGACACATTCTTCTAAAAAAAAAAAGACGCGACGCAACTGTCGCGTAACTTTGAACACTGCGTGAGAAAACGTGAGAAACTGGAAAGTGCTTTGTGATAACGTACAGTCGATCTTGACTATACTTACTGATTAAGTTGCCGTAAATCTCAATTCGTCTCACGAACGTTATCGACGATCGACTCAATTTCGACGTGTTAAATGTAGGGATTATAGCGAACTATACAAGTGTTCTCGTTCGTTTGGATCGACGTCAAAATGACCACGAATTATTGAAGTTACGACTTGAGGGACGTTCGATTTCCGGTATCGAGCGATTCTCTCCGATACCTGGGAGGGCAACGGTCGCCAGGAACATTTCTCTCTCTCGCGAGATGAACATCATATACGCGCGTCGGGCAAAATCCGTGCGACACGATTGTTACAATGGTATTATAATGGTATTATACAAAATCGTATAATAATGGCATTTGGTGGGACTAGCTCTCTCGAATCTTTCTTTTCTGTATTTTTACTGTCCCTTCGACAGTCGATAGGATAAAATCAGATCGAACGATTGAAAACCAAGATGTTCTTTAAAAAAAAAAATCTACGTACTAGTCAATTTCTTGAATATAATTAAATACGCGTTTAGTCGGACAGAAATTATCACTGGTCAATAATTTTTTTGTATTTTTTTTTATTTTGTACATACAAAATTTTAATACGTGTATTAAATATCGCTAAAGACTACACGGGGAAGATAAAATAGTAAATTTATGAAAGTGTGAATACTAATCAAATTGATAATAATTAAACAAATATTACAGCTCTTTTAAAACAGCGCTACAAATATTTTATCTTGGATGGGATGGACTATTTGGTTTAGAATAAGAAAAACCGCGACATCTTAAAAAAAAAAAAAAAAAACGCGATGCCATGAACCATGAACCATTATTGCATCAGGGCGTAAGTCAGATTGCCGAACTTCCCGATGTTGTTTACCGCGATCGAAATTTTACACGGGGGCCTTTTAAAATACGGGCGTTCTTATCCTTGCGTGGATTCCGAGCGTCTGTACGTGACATCGTGAACGGAAGAGTTATTACAGCGAAAAATTAGTTCTCCCGCTCGAAGTGAACCACGAGAGCTGCTTTTGACTCGAATTCACGGCGCGCCTCGCACGTTTCCCCGTGAATGACGGTGAAAGCTCCCTCGCTCTCGACGAACACGTCGCCCTGAATTTCCCCGGTCGACTGAGCCCCCCCTCGAGTGTACAGGGTCAACAAAGGTTAACCGTAGACTAGTCGCGGAAAATAACGCGACCGAGTCAAACGCGCCACAAAAGCAGCACGAACAAACGGAGCTGCGATTGCAATTTGAGGAAGGCAGAGGTCGAGTTTCGCGCTCGGGACACAAATGCGATGGAGATGAGACTCGCAATTTTTTTTCCCTCGCGTCATGTTAGTACGAAACTTTTTCTCGCAAGCGGTGCAGATCCGAAACGGTCAATGAACAGCGTGAATTAATTTAATTCCGAACTCCGGCAATCGTTAAATCGCATCGCGAGGGCTTTACGGCGAACGATAATGGACGGAGAGCACTCGATTGTAAGGGCACGTAGCACGTAGGAAAAATACGACAGAAAAAAGAGAGAAAACCCAGAAAAAAAAGAAAGATAACGAAGAACAAAAAGAAATTTGCGGAGCTTGGGGACGAACGAGCGGACGCATTGAATCCGTGACTTTTTTAAGGCGTAAAAAGCTATTTAAGTATAACGATAAGGCTAACACTTAGGCGCTAAGTTACTAATCTCGTAATGGTAAACTAAAGTGGCGAGTATTTTTAATAATAACTTGTAACTCTTCTAAACGAGAGACACCTAACGAACATAATCAAACGTCCTTTATGTGTAAGTTATGAATACTTTGCCTTAATATTTTTATCCGTGTGAGAAGAATAGAGAGAGAGAGAGCGAGTGTGAGGAAGTGAGAAAGTGATTGAGAGAAAGGACGAGCGAAAGAGAGCGAGAAAGGGAGAAAGAGGAGAAGTCGAGATGTGTTGCGAAAAGAAAGTCCACTTGCATTTGCTGACCACATGATTGCATTCACAGAGCGACAAATTCCTAGGGAGTAGCGGGAATTAATTGAGGATCCCTTCTCTTTTCTCGCGAGTTTTCCTTTCATATCCCTTTCCCGTTTACGAAACCGGAGTAAAGAAAAAGACAAACGCACACACAGAGACACACACGTATATGAGTACGCGCGTGCGTACGCATATGCACGTAATGCAATCGTGAGATTTCGCGCAGCAAACTCGTCCCTCGCGCGATCTTTCAAATAGGATATTAGATCGACGAAGTGGCCTTAAGACCCCGAACATGATGATGCCCTCCCCTCCGTGTGATTCCTCTTCTCGATGAAATTCCGTTTAGTGTTCTCCATCGTCGAGCGTATCGTAAAGTACCTCGACGATGCCGATCTCGTCGTTTTTTTTTGTCCGTTTCTAGATAGTGCCTCCCGCTTTCTTTACCGTCTCGCCTGAAAGGTGCACGGTGACGTGCATTTTTCGATATACCGTCGCGTTTCGTATCGTTCGAATTGCTTTCTTCATCCTCTCTCGTGGGGGATAAGATCGCGAAATAAATTTCGCGTGAATTTTGGTAAGTGAGAGAGACGATCCTCTCCTTTTACGTAACAGATACAGAACGTTGGCAATTGTGATATCGCTTCGTACGATTAAGTAACATTTTTTTTTTTCAACCCTTTGCACTCGAGAAGTCAGTCGGGCGTCGAAGCTCCCGTGGCTTGTACAACAATTGCGAAAGATTATACGCAATATGTGATCGAGCGGTGTCCCGCGCCGAGAAATACGAGAAATACAAAATGCGGACAAGGATTATCAAATGCTCAAAGGATATACGCTTCTTTTCGACTAATTCCGATTAATTCTCTCTGTAAACGAAATATCCTCTCTCGCGGCGCAAAGCGGGAAGAACGACGGAATATGGATGATCGGCTAGGCCGCTACGGGTAGTAACGAATCGATCGACGAGCGAGCTCTTGGGTGTACTAGGCTCGATTATATATCATCCTCTCACGACTGAAATTTTACTTTCCCGAGTAAAACCGCGTAGTTCAGATTCGCCGCGCGCGAAATAGGCTCCCGCAGATATAACCGCGAGACGACGTACATAACCAGTTCGCGGGGCGTATACATCACGCGTTCGACGACTAAGCTTTCTCACTTAGGGAATAGGGGAACTAAGTACTATTCGTAGGTGAACAGACCTTTTCGTTTCTCGTATTACGTTTTTCTCGCTGTCGTGTGTAATCGATGTAGGGTATTGAACGATTTAACGTTAATTGCGCGCGCGCGCGCGCGCGTTGTCTTTGGATTAGAGCCTTTCGCCGCGACGCGAGAACAAGTCTATATATACATATATCCAGGTTGAAAGGAGAAGAATAGGATGAGGGAGAAGTCTGTAAAAGAAAAAAGGGCGTCGGCGTTTGTGAACTGAGTCAGTAGGAAGTGTGACGTAGGCGCACTAGTGTTCTTTCCGCTCTGAAACGAATCTGTGAAACGCCAACATCCCTATATGCTCTAGACAAGTACTTTTCAAATGTGACAATGTAACCGTACACGCTATATATAAAATATGATTTTATTATTAAGTATAAGTAAATGAATTTAAACAAAAATTTATATATTATATATCTATATATATATATATATATACGCAGATATATCAATAATATAAAAGTATATTTAACCGGCGGTACTATATAATATATAAATATATATATATACATAATAATTATACATGAATGAATATATGAATATATAGATATATATTATTATTGTCGTCATTATCGTCGTCGTCGTCGTCGTCGTCGTCGTCATTATCATCAATCAGTGTCATCATCATCTTACTCTATCGTTATTATTATTATTATTATTATTATATTATTATTATTTTTATTGCTATCTGCGAGCATTATTGTGAGTATAACATTATGCCAATTATACACACGAACGTGAGTATTAAATAAAGCTAGTAAAGAAAGCACCATATATAAGACATAATACACGTACGCATTAATGACGGTCTACACATACATTATAATGAAACATACACATGGATACACGCATATGTAACACTGTGTTGTGAGCATTACATTAATTCTTCGTTTGTAGTTAATTAGACTTTTAAGTTCCGTATGATTTTAATTAATTCGATGCAGGTACTCGTGCAGAGAAATGGATGAGTAGAGAAAAGGGTATTCTGTAACACGTTTTGTGTGCGTGTGTATGTGTGTGTGTGCGCGTGTTGTGTGTACGTGTGTATGATGTGGGAGAGAGAGGGAGAAAGAGAGAGAGAGAGAGAGAGAGGGGGGAGAGGGCAGACAGAGTGAGAACGAGACAGGGAGACAGAATTAATAAGTCACGAACATGTGTAAGATAACTGATTGATCGAAAACGGAAAAGGAAAACAAAGAATACTGCGAAAGAACGGACAAGATCATCGTAATTTTTTTTCTTTTAAATTTAGAGGCTTGATTTTGTTACGTGTGTTACGGTTGCACCAAAACTTATGTCTTTTATATCCATGTACTGAATAATCGTTGGAATTAATAATCAAAATGATTATTTATTGATTGCCATTTACTCTTAATTGAACATTCGATAAGATCGCTAATTTCAGGTAAGCGAATTCTTCAATCTGACAATTAATTCATAGCAGGATCGCGGAGAGATAATTAATTATTAATGTATGACACTTCACGAGACATTTAATAGTTATGTATTTTAGTCATTAGCGGCAGATAAATGTATTATTGTCTTCGGCACATAGTTTATTTAAATTTCTTTTAATATATATATATTTTATTATATGTGTTATATAAATATTATCGAGATATGTACGTCGACTCTAAATCGTATAACTTACGTTTAATCCATACGTTTTAACCAATTTTACGTTTTAATCAATGTTTTCTTTTTATAGCTAGACATTTGAGAGATTTTGTGGTTTGTATAATTTATAATTGCGGTGTGTAATGGGCTTTTTGAGATTTGCGACATATAAATTTATTTAAATATTTTATTTGTATATAAAAATACGTAGATCGCGCGAGACTACCGGGCATTCTTCGACATTTTCGCTATCAATTACGGTTTCGTTTTGTCCTTATCGATTGCCATAGAAGCACGGTAATATGTCGGTGGAACGGCGAAGGGAGGGTAAAATTAATGGACAGTGTGCCAATATATACGCGACGTTAATTATTACGGTCGGTCAACACGGTCGGCGAGTAAATTGCGGAAAGATCGAGGACGAAGGAACCTTCGAAGGGGAAAAACGATCGGCTTCCAGGCGATCAATCGGTCCGTTCAATTTCGTAAAATGCCTGCGCTGTAACAGCTTTTATATATTCCATGTTTATCCTTTTCTGTTTCTCTTTCTTTCATCGTCTGAGAGAAAAGCACACGAAGCCTCCGTACCTAAATGTAACCAAGCGTACCTAGTGTTTAACGTGTACTAATATATTATAATGGCTATTCATACGATTATCGTCTGCACCAGTTTATCATTGCTCTTATTATTATTATTATTATTATTATTATTAATTATTATTATTATTATTATTATTAATTATTATTTTTATTGTTATTATTATTATATCGAAAAATAAAAAAAACGATTACAACCAGGAAAATGAAATACAGACTTGCAGTGGATATTTAATCTTCCTTGACCAATCGAGAAGATTAGGCATACTATCAACGGCGATAAGACGGATCCATCTTTCATGGTATCTCTAGATAAATCAGAGATAAACATGATAGATTCAATTGTGTGCTTAAACACGGACGGCACTGTAGATTTTCCGTGCGATCGGGTTAATTAAATGACAATGAATTAGAAAAGAAAACGGGATAATTGTTTATATTTTATATATGTACATTTTATATTTGTTTATTTATATAAAAGCTAAGTTATATTATATTGATTCCAAGAGAATTGATGAGAACTTCCGATTAATCGTGAAACAACGATTGCAAAGTAATGCGTAAAAGTTTTGTATTTTCTGATCACGAATGAAAAATTGAACGATTTCAGGATAGAACTTAAATAAGAACAAAAAATCACTCAGGCGTCGCCTCGTGCTAGAGATACAATATAAATCAGGTAAGATTTATACCCTTAACTTCGTAGATATTAATTATCTTGTCTTAAAATAATGATTGATTCTATGCTTAATTAATTTTCTAAGTCCAGAACGCGCGACACAATATCTTCCTTCACAAATATCCGAAATTACATATATATTAAAACATAAGAGTGTATTACATAAATTCATAAATTATTAAAATTACTTTAAGAAAAGTGATGTTTACTATGAAAAGGGCTAGTGCAATTTTGTTGAATTGATTGAATGAAGGGTGATGCTAATTTGTAAATTTCGGAACGCGAAAGTTTATTAGATAAAATAATAAATATGAAATATTATAAAACAAGTTTTTGTCTAAATATATTTATGGAATTTGAAATAATCTTTAAGATTATTTTATTGTGAACATTGTATCTTTATTGAATTCCGTTCGGTATTGTTTTTTTATTGTAAAAAATTTCTTTAATATTATTTCAAATTATATTAGATTATTTTAT